ACCACTGATTCTTCTTCACTATTCCCAACTTTTGCATTCCAGTCACCCATTATTATCAATGCATCTTGATTGCATGTTCGATCTATCTCCAACTGTAAAAGTTGGTAGAATTTTCCCCTACATCTTAAATAATGAACATGTTTTGCTTTTATAATTACAGTAAAATTTTTAAAATGTCATCATGAGCTATGTAATTAAAATAACTAGTCAATTATTATTTTCTCCTCATGGTACGTTTATCTGTATATCCCTGGAGGACACATCGTGCTTGGAAGAGTAGAGGGTCAGGCACAAAAGAAGGAGACAGTGCGGTGGATTGGCACGATGGCTGCAGCAATGCGCCTGAGCTCACCAGAGAGCACCAGGAGGGTGTCACATGTCTCTACCTCCATTCTCTCCAGCACATTCATACAGAGTTCTGGCTGGTGATCACACCGTAGTCCTCAGTCTTTGAAAGTAGCACTTCTCCAGCTCATCTTGAAGAACAGAAGGTGAATCTCTTCTCCTTGCAGGTGTGGGAGTCACTTCAGGGGTTTCTGCCCATCTTCCCAGCACCTCCGGCAGCAGCACCCAGGCCCCTTTCCAGCACGCCCATAAAGGTAAGGAAGGGCCCAGGTATTGATCTTTCAGGATTAAACCATCAAGAGGGAAGAGGTGGCTGGATGAAAGTTCAGAGGGAAAGAGGAAATAATTATTAGTCATGATTATGAAGCTCTTCCCCACCTCAAATCATTTCTCTAATGTGATTTAATTACCTAAGTTGCCCCCAGTTGCTGGAAGTTAATAATTATCTCAGCAAGGAGTGGAATTGATCACTCCATGGGTGTCCTCAGTCCATTAGGATGTGTTCACAATAAAAGCACACTCCCAGAGTGGCAGGCCTGTGAGCTCAGCGAAGGAGGGCGGCCCATGGAGGGGGTGCGGCGCTCCCTGGGCTTTGGTTTGGCAGGAAATCAACAGCAACTTTATTGCGAGCTTTCATATAAACCTGCTGACCTTAACACTTTAATATTCATTTTCAATAACTACATTTCATCCTCCCTAATCCTTTAGGGATGGGAATGATTGAGGAGGACAGCTCCTCAACTACCACAAAAGTCTGATATTTCCCTCAGAGCAAGACCTTGAGCTCTGGCCTCTTTTCCATTCAGACTGTTTTAATGGCATCCCATTATTTAAGCATCTTTAGGACCCAAGTTTCCGTGGGGCTTTGAGCATCTTTGAAAGATTGCAGGGCACTTAGTAGCCCCCTCCCCATCACCCTGAAAACCTGACGCTCCCTTGTCTTCCACAAAGGACATTAAGGCACTGAACCTTTGCTAGGATATATGAATCTCATTTCCTCCAGACCCCGGGGAAGTTACATGCAACACAGAGAATATTAAAACATTTATCTCATCCATACCTGCCATCCAACGATGTTACAGACACTTCCCAAATGCCTCCCCACGAGAGGTGGAGCAGCAGCTGAAACAGCCTCGTTTGGCTCTAGGTTCTGGTCCTTCCTTCCAAGCTGTAGTCTCCATCCGATGAGTCCAGAGATTTTACACTTCACTTTCCTGCCTGGGAGTTAAGAATCTCAGATCTGAAAAAAATAAAATAAAATAAAAGAATCTCAGATCTGGTTTCACAAGACTCAGAATCTTCGTGAATTAGTTCATTGGATTGGAGCATGCTTCCATGCACTTTACCCATCACAGGCAGCTATTGGTCAAGGAAGTGGGTACACTGTCCTAGGACAAAGGAATGGCTTTGGTGGGGGTGACAAGCATAATAGGACAACCCAGGAGGAGGAAGTGTGTCAGTCTTTATATTGTCTTTGCCCTGGGATTTTTAATATTCTTATGTTGACGTTGCATGAGACGCAAGATAGATCTCAACCCAAAACAAATTCTCTAGTCCCAGGAGTTGACTTTTATATACCAGTTTGCACTTGGAAATGCCCAAACTTGAATCAACTATCCTCAGGACTCATTTTTTTTGGTATGTGGGGTCTCTTTTACTCTCCCTATGCTACCTTGCGCAAGGTTCATCAAGTGATCACTGTTTCAAAGACAGGTCTGTGCAAACCACATATGAGACAGACAAGCCAAAGCTAATGTGTAAAACTGATTTGGTGACCTAAGTGAAATTCAGAAGCAAACAGGTTTGTTAAGTACTTTCCATTTTAAAAGTTAATAGCATTTTAGAACTTGGTTGTCAGACAAAATGAGCATTTCAGATGCTAAGCATCAGTTGGACACATCCTGATGGCAGAGCATTGCCTGAGGGATGTGATGGTTTCCAAGGACAGAGGGCATTGCATTACTGGGGGTACCCCTTGCCTGCAGAGACTAGAGCCCTGGATCACGGTCTGCTCCCTCTGACTCCAGGAGACCTCTCAGGCCAAGGGCACCTGGCCACTGCCCTGATCATCGCCATGTCCACTATCTTCATCATGGCCATCGCCATCGTCCTCATCATCATGTTCTACATCATGAAGACAAAACCTGCCCAAGGTGACTCCTCCTTCTTCCTGAAGCCCCGTACCCACCCGTTCCCCAGCCCTCCAGGACAGCTCCATCAGCTCACCCAGTTGATAAGCTTTGCTACTCACACTCTCCCCTTTCTCTCATCAGCCTGCTGTTCCAGCCACTCAGTGAAGAGTGTGGAAGCTCAAGTGAGCAAGGAAGAGGAGAAAAAAGAGACACAAGGTCTGCAAACCCTGCCTGCTGCCTTGACTTACACATAAGGCCATAGGAGAGATTCTGTGCTCTTCTCATCACTATGCTGCCCACCCCCCCACCCCCTCCCCAGCAGCCTGCCTTCCCACTTGCTTGCACGTTCATGTCCTGTAGTAAAGAGGCCACAGGAACAGGTGTCAGCAGCACCCACATTTTATTTACTCCTAAGCATGTAATTAGAAGAGTGGTGTCATTTAAGGGGATTTAGTCATCAGCCAATTCTGTGAACTAGGAAGTAAGCTGAGAGATCAAACTCAGAGACACAGAATCCATTTGAACTCATTCTTTCCTCTAAACATTTCCCCGCTTACCAACAGACAGCGTGGTGGTTTTCTCTGAGAAGGATGAGTTCGAGAAGCTGACAGCAACTCCAGCCAAGACCACCAAGAGGTAAGGTCAATCCTGCAGGGCCACTGAGAGTTCAGGTAGAACAGCCCATGTTGACAGTCCCACCCACTCCCTGCTGAAGATTAGGAGGAGTCTCCAGTTCAGCAGGAAGGGGCCATGGACAGGCCAGCCTATTCTCAGTGTGTTGTTGTTGTGTACCGTTATGTGAGAATTGACTCATAGCTGACCCTCCAGCGGGTTTTCAGAGGCAGTTAATCATACTGGAAGAGACTCCCCACTCTTTTACTGTACAGCAGCTGATAGGTTTGAACCCTGTGCCTTTGGGAATGCAGCATGTCTTCTTACCACTAGGACTGTGCTAGAGAAGGACTCTGGGAGCAGGGCTGAGCTAGCAGGTGGAGGAGGGCTTGTCCACCGGCAGCTAACACATCTCTCACCTGTCAACCAGCAGGGACTAGGCTGGTGTTAGAGCTGGTGGTCAGCATCTGCCTCCTCTTCTGGGATCACAACCCCATGCTTCTTCCTGGTGCTGTGTGCTCTCAGCTCTTCTACTTAACATCCTTAGTCCATATGTGGGTGTCAAAGCTTTCCACGTGCCCTATTCTTCTCTAGATTGTCATAGAAAGCCAAGGGTGTGTGCACTGTGGGTTACTGCTGCTGCTCACACTGATGCTACTCTGTTAGCACCAGGGGTAGTACTGGAACAGTGGCGATGATGTAACGTGGTGACGAGGATAACTAACGCAGGCTAGATGGTGATTCCGTGCCAGGCGCTGTGCTAAGTGAGTGAATGCAGTGTCTCGCCACAGTCCATGAGTCAGAAGCTGTGACTCTTCCCATCTGTAGATGTGTGACAGTTACACATCTCACGCAGCTAGTGAGTGCAGCCAGGTAGCCTGTGTCCACAGTTGCATTCCACAGGCTCCTGATGGACTAACATTAGTAGAGAAAGCCTGTCAAGGAAGAAGTTCCACATGTATATAAAATTTGGAGGGCCATAAATCCCACCCCAAATAAATCCAGGGTGGAGGGAATAAACACTTTATTCTTCCTCTTGGATATTCGTTCAGATTTGATCCTACTTCATCCACTGCTGTTGAGTCGATCCCAACTCATAGAGGCCCTACTTTAGGTCCCCAAGGTTGTAAATCTTTCCCGGAAGAGACTGCTCATCTTTCTCATATGGAGCAGCTGGGTGCTTTGAACTGCCAACCTTTCAGTTAACAACACAATGCATAACACACTATGCCACCAGGTCTACATTGATCCTTCAGATTCCAAAAATTGGCCGTTCGGTATTGGTTCTAAGCCAAACCGTGTGGATGGTGGTATGAGGACATCATTCCTCCACACTTCTCGCTCCATGGATAAAGGCACAGAGGTAACGAGCTTGAGTGACCTGCCCAGGGGTTGGTAAACTGGTTACAAAAAGAGAAGATGAAAATCCTCTTTGCCTGATCCCTGACCCCGCCCCCATTAATCCTTTCATCTTACCCTGTGTAAACTCATGAAAAGCCTTTTATATTTAGCAATAACAATGACTCCAGACTTTGGCGTTCATAAAGCACATCCAATAATATTATCTCATTTGAAAAGCTCCAGCATCTCTCAACAACAGCTCTGACACAAGGACAGCAAGCAACCCTAAATTCTAAAATCTTTACGTACTGGGAAAGAAAAGCAGATCGAGTGTGTTGTGTTAGTCCTGCAGAGCGAGGATGTTTAAAGGGCATTCCAGTGAGCCCTTCTCCTAACCTTCAGGAATTTGCTGTCTTAGGATTCTGGGCTTCTCTGGTGAGGGTAGCTTCTGTTCCCAGGGCTGAGTTGAAGTTCAGACTGCAGCGTGTGTATTTAGCTCTTAACTCTTGACCTGCTGGAAATGGAATTGGCCTTCCACTGGTCAGTCAGTCATAATCTCATTTTATTTAGACCTCTTTCCCTGTTTTCCTTTGACCTTTGTCAGAAAGGCGGGGGACACCTTCTGTGAATTAAGTGCCACCTATTGTCCCAGGAAAATGTGTAAATGTGTTTACTATTCGGTGCCATGGAGCCAACTTCAGAGCTTCAGAGTGTGACTATATATATATATAGTGTGACTGGGAAAAATCACCCCACAAGGACCAGTTCGCCTGACAGTCAGTTCTCACTGGTTAGCAGCTGAATACTTAGCCATTGTACCACCAGGGATACTTGAGAAAAACTGGAGAGACCTTTATTGAGGAAAAAACTCAACCAAGCTTGTGTAATTCTCATTTGAATTTGAAGCAAAAATCAGAACTTGAAAACTGTATTTGACACAATACCAAGTGACTGGGAATTCATGCCTGATACCGGCTTTCAGCTCTTGGGAACAAGGGTCTAGGGCCAGGAGATGACCAGTGCTGTGGGGGTGGCCTTATCTGCCCCTATCACATGCAGACAATGCCCAGGCCAGCGATGCCCTGCGAGACCCTGAGGTCACATAGAAAGTAAGTTTTGCCAATAGGGCATCATCCAGTGTTTCCTTTGCCTTTTAATCACTGTCTCTAGAGTTGTGTTTGTGTATGGGCTTTATGATTGTAAGCCAGTTATTAGCAAATACAATCCTTTTTAAAAAAAAGTCTTCTGCCAAACCACAGGAAGCAAGTGAGATGCTTTTAAAGAGAACATTGTTTTTAATATATTTGAAGTTATTTTAATGAGCTGTGGAAAGTCTTTTCTTGACTAATTTCGTTTCTTTTAAGAGTTCAAGGTCCAACCCACATGTGCTTCAGGCTAGATACCCTACCCTGTGTCTAACTAGCACAGACGCTGGCAGTCAGCCTTGGTATAAAGTGAGCCCAGAGTCTTGGCATATTGGTCTTTACCACCGTCTGTGGAATTCCCTGAGGCCCTGACCCCGGGGCACCATTCCATGATGTCCATGCCTCAGCCGGATCACCTCCCTCCCCCTCGTTACCAAGAGAAAAGCATTTTCACACTCATGGTTCTAATCGCTCTAGGCCCTTGTTTCTGAGCACATGCATGGATGCAGTGCCACCTACAGAAACACAAAGTCAACTTTGAGATTTGCTTGGAGTATATATCAAAAGATGTAGCCTATTCAGGATAATTTTCTGAGCATCCACACTATGTCAGGCACCATAGGAAGGAAAGAAAAATGACCAGTTGCAGTCCCCATCCCCACTGGCAAGCCCAGGCCCCCTAGAGCTGTTCACCCTCTCTCTCCTCCAATCTCCCGCTGGCCCCTCTGTGGTTCCTTTTACCACAGAGAGCAGCTGGCCACTAGCCTGAATTGAGGTCATTGTTTTAAAAAGGAGCAGAAAGCAGGCATGTGCCTTTCTTATCTCGTGCCCCCAGCACCTGCTAAGATGCTCAGTAAAAGTCCTGTGAACAAATGGTTGTGTCCCTCTTAGCCACATCTTGGCCATTAAGGTATTCACAGAGATGCACGTTCCCAGATCCCATTAATGCTGCTCTTGTTTCTCCAGTGAGAATGATGCCTCGTCTGAGAACGAGCAGCTGCTGAGCCGGAGCATGGACAGCGATGAAGAGCCCGCCGTCGACAAGCAGGGCTCTCCAGAGCTGTGTTTACTATCATTAGTGCACTTGACACGGGAGAAGTCTGCCACCGTCACCAAATCAACCGGGGTGAGGCACTGGCACGCACACGCCCTTCTTCCACTAACAGCCCCGCTTTATTGGGGCATCTGCAGGAGAGAGCCGTCTGATTTATGGTCAAAAGACAGACATTCCTTATTTAATAAGTTCTTCCGTGAGATAAGGAGTTTCTCCAACAAGTCTGTGGTAGGAAACCTGCATAGAGTGATAGCTATGAAACACCTTTGAAAATTTTTTTAAAAGCTTTCTTATTATATAGCTTTATTGGAGAAAAATGAGAATAATTATCAAAGAGAAGGAAATGAAAATCCCTTGGAATGCCACAGAATAGAAAGCATCTTTGTAAATATACTAGCAAACATCTAACTCATCTGAGACACATGTGCCCACACATAGATGTATTTGTGTGTGTCTGTGCATATGTATATACATATATACCTACATATAACAAATTCTGTACATGTATTTTTAATATAAAAATAAGATCACATTTGAAGACTGTCTATATTGTTCTACTACCTAAGGTAGGCAGTCTTGAAATACTGTAGCATGGATTTTGTGGGTAAAAGGTTAACAAACCTTTCTCCAGGCTATATTTGGTTAACTTTGTAGCTCTGTTGCTCTGGTAACCTAATAAAAGTTGGCATGTTAACTATGTTGCTAGGCAACCTTGCTCATGGTAAAAATGGCCCCTGATTGGTAGACTGGCCTGGAATCCTGTTGAAGACGTGAGTACAGACATGATGGCAATAACTTGTTCCTGGGTGTGTCACTTGCAAGGACCTTAGAGACCTGTGCAATTGTTGTGAGAGACACTGGTTCTAGTGGTGCGTAGACCTTTTAAGCCAGGACAACTCTGTACCTATCAGTACGGCATGCCCTCCCTGACCGAGCTCTCATGTGGGGAGATAAGCACTCCTGTACACCACTGTCTGTCTGGGCTTCTGTATGAGCTGCTATAAGGAGTCTACCTGCCCTGCTCGTGTACTGAACTCCCAAAAGACATCCTTCTAAATAGACAGATACCTAATGTGGTCTCTAGTGCTCTGGAGAGTTTGGATGTCCCATTGAGCCCAAGCCTTTCTGGTGGACACAGAAGGTGTTTTTATTAGGTAACCCAAAGAAAAGACTTCCTCTTTCTAAATTTTGGATGAGTTTCTATACCAGAACATGGTATATTTCTGATTGAACATTTCCTAGGCATAAGGGAAAATAATCTGTTAGCTGATACTAAGAGTTTGGATTCTTTGTCTGTTATCAGTCCCCTCTCCCCCTGCCTACCTTTTTGAAAAATAACATTATTTTACCTTTTTCCCCCTATAGATTCAAAGTCGAAGGAAAAAGATATTGGATGTGTATGCCAATGTGTGTGGTGTTGTAGAAGGTAAGCATGAAAGAAGCATTTAGAAAACTCCTACCCTAGGCTGTTAAGTTACCCAATTTTAAGTAAAGGGCAGGAATGTTCTGAAGAGCTTCCTTTTACCTGTCAATGGTGAGGCAAGGGTTTGACAGAAGAATCTTGATGTTTCTATGAACTGAGTAATGCCACCTGACACCCGTCATATTCCTCAACAGGAATGGCTGGCTGCCACAGTGCTGCATGGGGGGAAAGTTGTATTGGGCTCCAAACAGTTTCAACCCATTTCCCCAGTATTTCCTGTTCCTCCTAACCTCACTGGGAACTCTAGTGGCTTAGTGGTAAGGAGATGCGCTGCCAATCAGAAGGCATATGGTTCAAATCTGCCAGCTGCTCTATGGGGAAAAGATGGTCTGTCTCTTTCCATGCAATTTTCAGCCTCTGAAAACTTGCAGACAGGTCAGCAAATGAGTCAGTCCTGGTACACAACAATTTCCATGTGGCCTGAACGGGGAGGGTGAGGTGAATGGGGCCTCGTGTACCTCCTAGATGCCTCACTCTCCATTTGCTTTGCCTTCTTTGAAGATGGTTGTCAGTAATTTATCTAGTAAATAGTAGTCCTGCACTTCCTGCTAACTGTTTATAATGCACTTCTAGAACTTCCCATTTTCCATCTTCAGATGCCTTCTTCAGCTTTGCTCCATCTAGTAAATTCAAACTGTCAACCTTTTGGTTGGCAGTCCAATATTTAATCCATTGTGCCACCAGGGTTCCTCTGTAGTAACTGTAGTGCAAGTGATAATACTGAAAAACCCTGCAACTCCTTGCTGTCAGTTCAAGAACCCACTCATAGCTGACCCTCCAGCAGGTTTTCCAAGGTGATAAATTGAATGGGAAGAGACTGGCCATCTTTCTCCTGCAGAGCGCCTGGTGGATATGAACCACCAGAGAGGCACTGCTTTTGTATTAGCAATGCAACTTACTAAGGGCTACCCACCCTACCAGCAGTCCTCTCCAGGTACTAATGTTGTTGTTTTTGTTGTTGAGTATCATCAAGTCAAAGCTGACCCATAACTGGCCCTCAAGTGGGTTTTCAGAGGCAGTGAATGGCACAAGAGGAGATTAATTTTTCTCCCCTGGAGCAGCTGGTGGGTTCGAACTGCATATCTTCAGGATTGCAGTGTAGCTTCTTACCACTAGGTCACCAGAGCTCTCTACAGGTAATAATTGTTGTTGCTGTTGTTATTGTTGTTGCTGTGTGCTATCGAGTCAGAACCAAGCCATAGCTGACCCTCTGGTGGGTTTTCAGAGGAAGTTAATTGCACAGGAGGAGATTGCCCATCCTTCTCCTGTGGAGCAGCTGGTGGATTTGAACCACGTGACTTCAGGATTGCAGTACAGCTTCTTACCAATAGTCAGGCCAAATACTCCTCTCCAGACAAAACCACATTACTAGGCAGAGAGGGAAGAAATCAGACAGATTCAGGACTGAAATTGCTCGGTGCATCTTACTAGCTGTGTGACCTCAAATCATTTGACTTCTCTGAGACTTCACTTTCTTTGTCTGGAAAAATAAAAATACTGCTGCCACCACCATCTGTCACACGGTGAAAAGGGAGTGTGAAGATGGATGGAAGCACCTAGTGCCCAGCTGTGAGGATTTCTATCCCTTGCTCACCCCTCTTCTCCCAGAGGCTCTCCTGTGGCTTCTCTTCTGCCCTGGGTGACTCATCCAGGGTCAGAGGGCAGAAATCCCTGCTGTCTGTGTGGGAGCATCCACACATTAGAGCTGCGGGCACTTTAGAGTCAGAGCCTGCCAGGGAGGCACCACGGGAGTGTGACAGCAGTTCGGGCTGCCTACCATTGCTCCCTAAAAAACACAAGATGAGGGGGGCCGCTTGGCCACAACTGCTTCACACTGTTTCACTGCTGTTTCCATACCCCCACCCAAACCACTGCTGAGCTTGTTTGCAGAAAGCTCCATGCTCATCACTGAGGCGGAGAACTTCCCCTCCAGGCTGGTCTGGTCTGGTCGCCCTGGCACTCTTGCTGTGGACTTTCCCCTGTTTGGACAGGACAGCGAGAGTGCAGCCATTCCACTGTGTGAGCTGAATGCCAGCACGCTGAGCCCCAGGGCAGGTTTGTGGGGTGCATTCTCCGTAAGCCAAAAATAATTCCTGAGTTCCAGGGGCTCTGTGGGACTGCCTGTGGACATGTGGCATCTTGCCGTAGATGTACCTGGCCCTGGGTCAGCCTGCCAGGCCCAGCCTGGTGGAGTCAAAGGCTGCTGGTGACCCACTGGAGAATGCCTTGAGGTTTTCATTTCATCAGTCAAAAAGCCCTTCTCTGTTCCCTAGGCTGTCTTGGCTTTAAGAGTCAATATGCCTGAGATGATGATGATTTTAAAATTAATTGCAAGACTCATGGGGAAACAGAGGTTCCTCCATTGAAATTGAGCAGAGGAAAGTCTGAAGCCCTGTTTGTTGACCATGCGCCCCTCCAAGGGAGCTCTGATGGCATGGTCTGTAGGGAGTTACACTGTTAACATGAATTTGGTGCCTCTCTAGCGGTTTAAGTCAGCCAGCTAATCCTTGAGAGAAAGCTAGTTAGTCTCTTCCCATGTCATTTACAGCCTCAGAAAACCCACTGGAGGGTCAGCTATGAGTTGGTTCTGACCCAGCAGCAATGAGATTGTTGAGTCTTGCATCCCTGGAATATAGGTCCTAGAGTTTCACAGCAATGCTGACCCATAGCCAGGGCTGAGGATGTTGGACCTGCCGTTCCCAGAGTGGTACGAATGAACTTCATTGTAACCTGAGAAATCTTACAAGTGTTTTGACCTAGCAGCAGGTGCCCAAAAACAAAGCTCAGAAGTCAGAAGGGGGCAGGAAAAAAGATGAAGGGAAACCAGGAATTCAGGGAGGAAGTGAGAATATGGCATAATATTGAGCGATTGCAACTAATGTCAGGAAACAAAAGAAAATGTGTATAGTATTGAATGGGAAACTAATGTGCTCTGCAAATGATCACCCAAACCCCAGGATGAATCAGTAAGGTGCCTGCCCCAGGATAAGGTTTTATAATCTAGAGTTAGGTCCAGGTATCAATAGATTTTTAAGTCATCTTTTTATGTTAATATAATTTAAGAAAGATAGGGTGGTAAGAGACATTACACACAGACCTGATGTACTTTTTTACATAGTTTCCCAGAGTGTAATGTCTTACACACTCTAGATCAATGTCACAGCCAGAATATTGACATGGACACAGTGAAGATAAAGCCTTTTCCATTGCCCCAAGGACTCCTCACATTGCGTTTTATAGTTATGTACACCAACCCGCTCTCCAGGGTCAACCAAGGGTCAGCTCTGACTCAACAGTACCTAACAACAACTCACACACTGGAGGGAATGCTTGTGGCCTAGTCTGTAAGGAGTTGCACTTCTCACTCAAGGGCAGAGCTCCTCAGGGGGTTCGAATCTGCCTGCAGCTCCTTGGGAGGAAGATGGGCAATCTCCTCACATGCTATTAGAGACCTAGAAAACCACTGGAAGGTCAGCTAAGAGCCAGTTCCAAGTCATTGGCAGGAAGTTTGAGTTTTGAGGGATTAATATTTTTTTTCTTCACTCAGCTTAACTCTCTGGAGATTCATGCAGGATATTGGTGGCACTAATAATTTTAGTAGCTTTCTTTTCATTACTGAGTATTATTCCATAGTTCTACTTGTTTAACCATTTGACTGGTAAGGGACGTATGGCTTGTTTCCAGTCCTGGGCTGTTATAAATAAAGCTGAATATTCTTGAACAGCACAAATAACAGCACTGATATGCTCTTTATGTTTTAAGGGGAAAAAAATCTCCATTTCATTCTTTTTTCTTTTCTGGAGTTCATTTTCATCTGTGTCAAACATGTTTTGATTTCTCACTGACATTTTTATGACACTGCTTTAAAATCTTTGTCACAGAATTCTGACATCTCTGTCACTGCAATGTTGGCATCTACAGATCACCTTTTTTCATTCAGTGTAACATCTTCCTGGTTCCACAACTTCTAACGAAAACACAGGCATTTTCATACTACATTGTGAGACTTGAGGTCTTATATAAATTCTGACATCTCTGTCACTGCAATGTTGGCATCTACAGATCACCTTTTTTCATTCAGTGTAACATCTTCCTGGTTCCACAACTTCTAACGAAAACACAGGCATTTTCATACTACATTGTGAGACTTGAGGTCTTATATAAATCTTCTGTTGGAGCTTCCTTTGCCTGACACTATCTGGTCAAGGGAGGATGGGCACCACCTTTTAACTGCCAGGTAGAGATAGAGGCCCAGGCTTCCCGTGCAACTTCCATTGGCCTGGATGGGGCACGCTAATGAGGGTTTCAACTCTCATGTGGTCTCCATGAACATTATTGTTGTTATATGCCATTGAGTCACTTGTGATTCATGCTGACCTCATACACAATAGCTCTGAACCCTGCTCTATCCTGAGCCCATCTCTCTGTCTCTGACACACTTACCTTCATTATCATGTTATTATCAGTTTTTATGTTTATTATCATGTTTATTATCAGTTAATATGTCAATCCATCTCATATGGGGTCTTCCTCTCCTGTGCTGTCTAAACATGATGTACTTCCCCAAGGACTGGCCCCTCCTGGATACATGGTCAAAGTATGTGAGATGGAATTTCAAAATTCTTGCCTCCAAGGAGCAGCTTGGTTTCACCCTCTCTAGGAAAGACCTGTCAGTTCCCTTGGAATGAGTCCTTGGAACGAGTCCTTGGTATGTTCCATACTCTTCTCCAACACTACAATTCAAAAGCATCAATTCTTCTGTCTGTAGTGGGGGTGATCATTGTTGCTGAGTGATGGTGAAAGGCGACTCCCTTCTCATCTCAGTGGAGGGAGGCTGCAGCTCGTTTTGGCTGGGTGTGCTTGGCCTCTCCATTTGGTCTGCCCTGACACTCCAGGACTTCTGATGGGGCCTTAGCACGTGGTCTGTCCTGAGACTCCAGGACTTCCAAGGGAGCCTTAGCACATGGTCTGCCCTGACACTCCAGGACTTCTGATGAGGCCTTACCACTGACTGGAGAAGATGATAGTCCTGGCTTTCTATATGGCCCCTCATTAGGGAACCATCTTACAGCTTCCTAGGATTCCAAGTCTAGGCTTCCCACTTAGCCTTTGCTGTTACGGATAGAGTGAGACCATAGTGTTTTCTATGGTATTTAGCTGAAATGGGTTAAGTGCTCTCTAAAAAGTTTTAATTTTGGTTTTTGCTGGGCTGCTTCTGTCTTGGTGGTTTGGTTGAAAAAGGCAAGCTTTTGTTGGGGCTCTTTGCCAGGCTAACTGGTGTTTGAGTTGCTGGCTTCTCAGGCTAACTGTCACGTTCACCCTGGCATCTCGAGATTTCTGGCTGTTGTGCTTTCTCGCCGTTTTTCAGGGTCTCCCTGTGTTTGTTTCATTGATCTCCTATCTTTTCAACTGTACTTCAGTTCAGCCAACTGTTGTGTCAATGCCGACTCCTATAGTGACCAGCTGTTGGGTTTCTGAGGCTGTAATCTTAACAGGGGCTGACTGGGCATCTTGCTCCTGAAGAGCTTCTAGTGGATTAACTGACAGAGACACACTGCCTTCTGGTGAGCAGGACGACATCACCAGAGCTCCTTTAATTATGGGAAATCTAGGGGGAAGTGCATCTACTCCATATTCCTGAAAGAGGAATTGCATTAGTGTTATTGAAATGCTCCTCAAGTGAGTATCGGGCACAGTGAGGATTATAAATCAACAGACTTCTACACTGGCAGTCAGTTTGTTCAGAGCCTTTGGGTTGTCATTCAAAACTCTCTTCATAACATGACTCCTCCTTCTTGTTGTGTACTGTAGAGTCATAACCAACCCATAGCTGACCCTCCAGTGGGTTTACAGAGGCAGTAAGTCACATGGGAGGAGACTGTCCATATTTCTCTCATGGAGCAGCTGGTGGATTTTGAACCACACACACAAGATGTTGGCAGCACAATTCCTTGCCACTGAGCAACCAGAGAGCCCCTAAAAGTGCCTGTTGCAGTAACATGGAAACAGCCCAAATGTCCAACCACAATTGGACGGATTGAGAAATTGTGGCACATTCATACACTAGAATACCATGCAGCACTCAAGAGCAACAGTTTTGAAAATTATTACATAACTTGGGAGGGAGAGGAGAGCATTATGCTGAGTGAATTAACTCAGTCTTATAAGGACAAATACTGCATAAGGCCATTTTTGTAGAAATAGAAAGATAACTAGTAAAACGTGTATGAGGATCCAAGGTGGGGAGGATGGGAGCAGAGGGGTGAGGATAGGCCTGGGTGAAATCATATGGTCACACAATTTGGTGAGTGAAGGGGGTGGTTAAAGGAAATGGGAAAGATCTAGTGGGGATCTGGAAAGAGAGGGCACAGTTCAATGATGGCTAATTCTATAAAACAATGAATGGGAATGATAGTGTGAAACACAATATATACTAACTTTGTAAGTAAACCGATAGAAAATATTTTTTTAAAAAGAAAAAGAAGTAAAAAAAGTGACTGTTAGTAGTAGTTGTTGTTAGGTACTGTCAAGTACAACTCTTGGTGACCAATAGAACAACAGCTCTGAACTCAGTTTTCTCCTGTGGCAGCCTCCCCGTCTCTCTGATAGACTTGAGCTGATTGCTGCAGTTACTGTGTTAATCCATCTTGTTGGGGGTCTTCTCTCTTTCTCTCATCCTCCACTTTTCCAAGCATGATGTCCTTCTCCAAAGAATAGCCTCTCCTTATACCACATCCAAAGTATGAGAGACGACTAGGGACTACTAATGTGCTAATATTCTCCTTTACATTCCTCCTCAGCTTCAGCCGTAAGCATGACAGGGCTTATCCAGCCAAAGTTAGTCTGAATGAAAGGCTTTGGAGACTGCTAAAAACATCCTCTGTAGGGATTGCCATAGCAGTCAAGTTCACGTTTACATTTGGAGTGAGGGCGGGATCACCCCTGGAATTAGGGAACAGGCAGCTTCTCTGTGACAAGGTTCTGAGTGCTGCTCCCTTAAGCTCTGCACTTGCTGCATCTGTTTTTTTGGAATCTGTGTTTTACTCCACAATATGAAACCTTTTAAACTATTTTAACGGTGGTGTTCTCTGTTGACTGCCACCCTGTGGTGTCTGACCGTGACCCTTTCTCTCTGTAGGTCTCAGCCCCACGGAACTGCCATTCGATTGTCTTGAGAAGACCAGCCGCATGCTCAGCTCCACGTACAGCTCTGAGAAGGCCATCGTGAAGACGTGGCGCCACCTTGCCGAGAGCTTTGGACTGAAGAGGGACGAGATTGGGGGCATGACAGATGGCATGCAGCTCTTTGACCGCATCAGCACGGCTGGTTACAGCATCCCCGAGCTGCTCACGAAGCTGGTGCAAATCGAGCGACTAGATGCTGTGGAGTCCCTGTGTGCAGACATACTGGAGTGGGTGGGGGTCGTGCAATCGGTCCCCCAGCCACTCCCCACATCGTGAAGGACATGACTGTGAACTGTTCTTCTTTGAAATGAGCCAAGGGACCTGTCTGAGGGCTCTGGAGCTATGAGCAGTGCCAATAGACTGCCAAGCACCAAGGCTTATTGTGATACTAGGATGCACTTCAGGCTGTTCCAAGGAGCAAGAAGAAGGGAAGCCTATTTTTTTTCCCATCTAACAAAAGATAAAGATCAAAGCTGGGATGCTTAGCCATACCTTGCCAGGCAGAAGAAATATTTATTCATGTAGCTAGCCAGCAAGCCACTCATTCATTCCACAGACATTGCTGAGTCAAGATGAACCAAATGATACAAGGAAGGAAAGATGAATAATCTGGTCCCTGTGTTTAAGGAGTTTACAGTCTTGTAGGTGACCTAAGGCATGTGTAAAAACTGAGCGGGCAGATGGTCAGAAAACAGTATCAAAGCCTTTAAAGAAGGAGGTAGCTTCCCACTGGGGGATGAAGGGGGGGCTTCCTCAGGAAGAGTAGCTCCAAAGTTTTGGGAAATGGCTACAAAATGCAGGTAACTCACCCCAGCATGAGAGTGCTGAGAATCTCTGTGGTTTCATTAGGATCTCCTCCCCCCGTCTGCGGGGGTCATTCCCTTCCAGTCAACAGTGGGAGGGCCTTTCCTGTGACCTGTTTTGTGGTCACAGGCATGCAAAGCATGCATTGCTTGTCAATCAGATTTCTGTGTGGTGGTTGATTTCAATTATCCTGTGAGTCCTAGATCCTGAGAGCTGAATTTTTTCAAATTTCTTGGGAATCAGATTTGACCTGTGAGGAAAAGCAGCATTCAAGGACATAAGCAATTATGCCCCCCAAAAGTAAAATGTGCCAGGCTGTGTTTTTGCTTCAAGCAGAAATAGTCACAAACTCTGCTCAGGAAGGGAAATTACAACTTTATAAGGGTTCAGCCATACACCAGTCAAGTTTTCAGACAGAGCCAAGACATGATGAGCCTCTGTCTTGAGAGTTTATGACTCCAGGTCTCCTGAGCCAGTCATGGGAAGTTGAGCCTGCCATGAAGAGTCCAGAGACCCGGGTTCTTAGGGTGGCAGTTCATTAACAATTCACTCCCTCCTTAGGCCTCGGTTTCTTTTCTACAGATGACAAGTTTGGGTTGGCCAGGTTCAAGGGTCTTCCCAACTCTGCTAGTCTGTGGTTTTAGAATCAGAGGAAAGAAAGGTTAGGTGGGCAAGGAGAGAATGGAGATGTGGGAAATGCCAAGTGTTACAGTCACTATGTGCAAGTAAAGATAGTTATCAGAGCAGGAATAGAAACTGAAAAACCCAGATCGGACACGTTCCTGGTTATTGTGATTGCCTGGTTCAACCTTCAGAGAGTAAGTGAATAAACAGACATTGTTCTGGGCAGATTCCTTCATTTCACCACTACGAGCCCAGAGCTCGGGAGCCAGAGCAGTGATCACACCAGTGGGTTAATTCAGAGCCCACTGCTGAGGCCGTCTAAGTACTGCTGTTAGTACTGAATAAGAACACAGTTTCTACAATGCAATGTGATATATTTAAAATTCCCAGTCACATGATAGTCAATGCTTGAGAGGGCGGCAAATCAGTCATGGGTTTAACGCTAACAAGCCATTTCCCGCCAATGTATGTAGAACATACTGTGAGAGGGTCATAATCAGGTCTTGAATATTTAATGTCATCATCAACTATGTCTGTTTGCTGCAGTTTTTCAGACCCTATTTAGTATACCCTAAAAGCTAAATATTCTATGGCAAAACTTAATTATCCCTTTAATTCCTCTTTGAAATCCTATGATGCCCCTTTCTCTTGCTTTATGATAATGATGATGAGAATCTCTCCCTTAATTAGACTGCAAATGTCATCTGTGATGAGCACAACATTGCAGAGAAACAGCTTGCAGGTCCTCAGAACAGTGTTTCCCGCGAAAGGAGTGGCCGTCCTCCAGCCGGAATGGTTTTGCCTAGTTTCTCACTATTAGTGCTCCAGGGCCAGGGGCCTGCCAGCATCAGACCATGTTAATTCTTAAACTACCACGTCAAGAACTAGACCTTCTATTGTTACACAGTCCTTTGTCCTTTACTTGTTTAGAAATAAATCCAGGAAAGGTTTATTATGACGGTGCTTGAATTCAGAGTCGGTGTGGCTATCATGGTGGAGACAGGGTCCAAGGTGAAAACACCACCTGTGGTTTTGTGTGGAGACAGCCGTTATTTTGCCATACTTAACCACATTTATAAAACAGCCCGTACTTGGTTGGTGGCCCTTAAACAGTGAAGTTTTTTAATTGTCATTATTTTTGTCTAATTTTGTATATATAACTTATTATATTTTACAAGCTCAATAAACTAATAAGACTGTCTAAAGACTGCTTTGTACTGTAGTGTGACTTCTTTTGGAGATGAGAGTGAGTGAATGGAAAACTTCCTGACTGATCTGTTTTCTGGTTATTGTACTCAACTCAACGGCACCTAACAATATACATATAATGAGGCTCGGTAGTAGTATCTGCTAGATAAGAATTGATTAGGGCAGAGGCAAATGTTACAATAAGATCATTTAAAAACCACCTGGAGGATTGCTTTCCAAGGTGCCCTCATTACTTTATAAGGCATTGTATTAAATTAGCTATTGCTGTGTAACAAACCATCCCAAAATTCAATTGCTTAAAGCAGCAATTTCCGTTGTTACAGCTCAGGCATGTCGGGAGGGGTCAGCTGATCTATATTAGTGCAGATAATTTCAGGTAAGCTTAGTCATACAACTTTGTCCCAGCTGGGACCTCTGCTACGAGAACAGCTTCACTAAATAGCTACACTCCATCCATGGCCTGGATTAGGTGCATCTTAGTCTCTAGGCTGACATCGTTGCTTTTCAGTCCTCTGGAGAGGTCCCTGACAGCAGATTCTCCCAATGCAAATTGTCTTTGGATTTCATAACTGCTGGTTCTAAGATTGTTGATTGAGGAGCTGAGCAAACTGGAATTGTTAACAACTTCAATCTCTTCTCCATCCCTCATGGTGCTGCCAATTGGCCCAGTGGTGAGAATCTTTTCTTGATGTTAAGTTTCAAGCCATATTGAAGACTACAGTCCTTGACATTATGCAGCAAGTGTTTCAGGTTCTCTTCAGTTTCAGCAAGCAAGGTTGTGTTATCTACATAACATAGGGTATTGATGAGTCTTCCTCCAATCCTGATGCCACATTCCTTCTCATAAAGCCCTTCTTTCCAAATAATCTGTATGGCATATAGATTGAAAAGGTATGGAGACAGGATGCATTCCTGATACACTCCTTTCCTGATTCTGAACCATGCAGTGTTTCCCTGCTCTGTTCTGAGAACTGCTTCCTAGTTCAAGTATAGGTTTCATATAAGCACAATCAAGTCTTCTGGGATTCCCATTTTCTCAAGGTTAGCCACAGTTTGTTGTGATCCACACAGCCAAACACCTTTGCATAATCAATGAAACACACAAACATTCCTCTGGTACTCTTTGCTTTCTGCAAAGATCCATCTGACATTGACAATAATGTCTCTAGTGCCACGGCCTCTTCTAAACCCTCTTGTATTTCTGGTAGTTCTCTGTCAATGTACATTCCAGTCAATTCTGGATAATCTTCAGCAGGATCTTGCTAGTGTGAGATATTACGGATATCGTTTGATAATTTCCACACTCTGTTGGGTCACCTTTTTTTGGAATGGGAATAAATCTGGATCTCTCCCAGTCAGTTGGCCAGGTAACTGTCCTCCTGACTTTTTGGCACAACCTGGTGAGCACATCCGGGGCGGCATTGATTGTTGAAATATGTCACTTGGTATTCCATCAATTGTTGGGGCATTATTTTTTATCAATTCTTTCAGAGCAGCCTAAACTTCCTCTTTCATCACCAATGCCTCTTGATCATTGTTGTTTTCTCATTTCCAATATCATATGTTGTTTCTTGAAATTCTTCTGTGTCAGCCAATTCTTTGTGGTCCAGTAACTCTATATACTCCTTCCACCTTTTAACACTTCTTGAATCATTCAGTATTCAGCCCATAGCATCCTTAAACATTGCAACTCATGGTTTGAATTCGTTCTTCAGTTTCTTCAGCTTAAGAAATGCCGAGCTACTTTGGCCCTTTTGATTTTCCAAATCCAGCTCCTTGCACATTTCATTATACTTTGCCTTATCTTTCCGAGCTGCCCTTTGAAGTCTTCTATTTAACTCCGTGATGTCTTTTTTTTTTTTTTTTAGCTCCTTGATGTCTTGATTTCTTCCCTTTGCTTTAGCTTCTCAGCACTGAGGATCTTCCTTTTAAAGAAAAAAGTTTAAGAGTTTTTATTCATTTGTTTGAGTACAAGTCTATGAATATATTGGTTTTCCATTCAGTCATTTATAGACACTTTGATTGATGTAACAAATTTATTACAATGTCTCACGATGATTTCAGAGCAAGAGTTCATTTACCTTCCATAGCTTCAAAAAGTATGGATTCCAATGCAACAATGAATGAATGGAAATCCAAAATCTCTCTAAATGTTCATTAAAATTCATAATATTTTAATAAAAGTATGGATTCCCTGAGAGTTGTTGCTGTCAGCTGTCACAGTGTTGGCTCCCACTCACCACCCTGTGTGTGACCCACAGGGCTGTGGACCCTTTCTGTGTCACTCCAACCTCAGGGACTCACTTTCCCGTGCCGAACAGGACAACGTGTTGAGATCACAGCTTTTGGTGTGGGGTTTTATTCCCCCTTTCTTTAAAAATTTTTATTAATTTTAATGAAAGTTTACAGAGACTTTGGATTTCCATTCATTCATTCATTGTTGCATTTTTCTCCCTGTCCAACCTTCCCCATCGCCAGTTTACTCTTCTCTTTGAAAAGTAAAAGAAAAATTCTTTCATTGTTATACAATCCCTCCCCCCAAGTCCACTCCAATATGCAGCCTTTATTCTGGACTCCTGTCATGACAATAATACCTAATCATATATCCCTTTAAGCAGTTCTCTCCCTCATCTGCTTCAATGCAGTATACATAATTTATCCC